AGATTTTCCTCCGTTTATTTTCATCTGCAATCATCACATGATGCGAACTTGAAAAAGTAAAAGGCAACTAATGGCTGAGTCCACACAACAAATGGAAAGCAATATCATAAACTCTCTCAGAACAATTATAAGGTTGCATCATTTTTAGGAACAAATTTATCCCTTACAAAAATGGAGTAGGACTCACGGTTGAAAACCCTGTAAATAGAAAACCATTCAAAGCAGCATACATTTACACAAATTATACACAGATTTGAACATTCACAACATTTATTGTAATGGAATCATGTTTTTCCAATTCACTATTAATTCCGGCAACCTTTTGTTATCCTACTCCTTCCCATTGATTATAGTCCCCCTAAGTTAGTGGTTTAAAAATTGGGAAGTTACTCCTTAGTTTAGTGGTAAGCAAGGGAAAAAATTACAATTTAATAGTAAAATAAAATTGTGATTGCAGGTATTGAACTCTCTCTCATAATCTAAACTGCACTTTCATCAACGTAGGCAATGTTGCTATGATGATTAATATGTGTTTAGTGGCCTAGTTCCTTGTGTCGAGCTATATTTGAAGCTATGACAATTATCGGTTGCCGGTTTATTCAAATCATTTTGGCATATTGTGTATCTATGACGAAGAGAACTATGGCTTCCTACGCTTGTTTGACCGCACTGTGATGGCCATTTAGACTAGTATGCCTTAGTTACCTAAACTTTGGTAGCATGATTGTCATTGCCTAGGATACTGCTCCATAGGTGGACGACTAAGGCCATTATGCACTCGGTATCCCAGTAAGTTGATGGCTGCCTATAACGTAGATTTTTAAAGTACACATAGACTAATATGTGTTTATTGGCCTAGTTCCTTATGTGGAGTATGTTTATTCGATGGCGTGACATTTATTGATTGCCGGTTTTTGCAATAACTATTGGCATATTTTGCGTTCCTAATGTTCAACACTCACTCATACTATCTTTCGTTATGTTCATGTGCATCAGTGAACTAACCATTATGAGTCATTGGATTTAAACCTCGGTAGCTAAGTTGTCATAGACTAGGATAATACTCCATAGGCGGACGATGAGGGCCATTACACATTTCTGAGCACAACTTAAAAAATTGCTTGCTTATTCAGTTGCTTACGCGTCTCGGTGAATTCAATTTGGTGCACTCGACTGGTACCGTACCAAACCGGGACAAATACATTGAATGAGCGACTGAACTGAGTGAGCATTTTAGCGTTCCACTAACTTGGGATAACGTGAAACATAAAGCAAGTAGGTTGAAGAAAACATTTGATGCCGAGTTCCTACTTCGAACTGCCACTGGCCTTGGTTAGGATCCCATTCAAAAGAGACCCGCCTGCACTGAAGAATACTGGCAACAATTTGTATTAGTAAGTTCATTGCTTGATTTCCTTTATAGTTGTTTGGTGAATCATGTTTTTTCTTTGTGGCTGCCACTTATAGTGCTGTAAATCTTTATTGATGGGTATGCAGAGCCATCCCGAGGTTGAAAGGGCAAGGCGGAAGCTGTTGGTGGATTATGATTTGTATTATTGTGCATCCGTGAATACGAGTGAGGCATTTTAGTACCGCCAAAACGAAACGCCCATCAGTCCACCTCATCCCCCACAAAAAACCCAAGCAGCCCCATTGACAATGAAGGAGGACCAGTAAATTTCAATGATATTGACGGTGTTCCTTATACCGATATGAGGCAAGGAATGACTAGAGAAAGGTGAATACCACATGTAGCATCCCAATCACATTGATAAGTAAACGGCCAAGTCGCAACACTCGTAGGCACTAACCGACGTTCATGGGATGTGCCGTCAATCGACTTGTATCTTCCATAGAAACAAGTAGTCGAAGTAGAGGTAAAAGTACATGCACAACTCAGACCATGGAGAGTGACACCATTGAAGATAAATGCATTGATTTACTAGGAGAGTTGCAAATACTGCAAGAACAATACCTTTTCATGTTCAACTTCATTACTTCAAATCGTAGACTTCAACGGTCATTCCTTTGGATGAAAGAACACCATCATCTGGCGTGGATTCAACAGATTATGGAGCAACATACAAATTAGCCATGGCTCTTCCACCACCGCAGCAAATGCTTGTCCCCCATTGTTTCATCTGAACAGTCAACACAACCCGACGTCCTTGTACACATTCAATCCTACGACTTCCAATTTCCAGCCATACACGCCCCCTAACTTTCCACCATTTTCAAGACCCCATGGTGGAGATGGCGGTTCACAACCGTGATTATTCTACTTGTTGGTGGCATCCATGCCTCGGTTTTTTTATATGTCTTTTAACTTATTATTTACGGGTTTTTTAATTTACATAGGTTTCGTTTATTTCGCGGATTCGAGTTTTCAATTTGAGCTGAGATGTAACATATTCTGAGAACTTTTCACTGTAGCAAAAAATGTTAGATGTGACATTTTCCGAGAGCTTTTTACTGTAGAAACCTAAAACTGAAAACTCGAATCGGTGAAATGAATGAGGCTTTAACTTGTTTGCTACACTAAGTGTTTTCTAACTTATGAACATTGCTACTGTTATGGATTTTAGATGCATTCTTTTGCGGTTGGGTCCATTGTTTAGGACTGCAGATTATGAGAACACTGTTGTTGGTGATTCTTACTTTAATTTGTTTTGTCTACAATTCAGCTCTGCATTACATTTATTAATATTTGATTAAGATGTTGATTGAAAATACAGATTTGCAGAAAGTTAAGATGATTATGTAATGTGATTGGAATTTTTCCTTAAGGATACGCTTGTACCTACTTCATATATGGTTTTATTAGTTGGATATGTTAATAGGCATGGATTCAGGTGGTAGTTCAAGTCCAATGGACTCTAGTGATTCAGATAACGACAGAGAATGAATTTTTCAGGCAAGTGGTTGTTGCTACGGTGTTGTTGTGTTGGTCTCCGAATCGAATTCGGACGTGAAAGCGTGGGGAGAGACGGATCGTGTATAACAAAAATTTTTATAAAACATTTGAGATACTCTATAGATTATATTAATTTATGCACGAATAAATTAATCTCATTAATTCATTTATTAAGAACTCATTACGAATAATACCCTGCGGCCGATTATGATGATAACTTGAGTTCTTTGATTTTGAACAATCGTTGCTCCAAAGCTTTGTTTTAGAAAATCAATGTCTTCCACGTCAATTGCTAGAATCCACGAAGACGTGTGTGTGGGCACACATGAGACAAAACGGGTTACAATAAACACTCAAATTTCCACAAACACCAACGCATGCACGATGTGAAATTTTTGGAGAAAAATTTTTCCTTCCCTTGCTCTAAGAGAATTTCAGCCATAATACTTTATTAGGTCAAAAATTGTTTCAAAAATTGTCTCAAAAATTTTCTATCATTCTCTTATTTATAGAGTAGAAGTCAAACTTCTAGAAGAAATCCAATCTCTATCTCCAAGATAAAGCTTGTTAATTATCTCCTATTTGAATTTGAAACAAAATCTCACATTCCCTTATCCTTAGTGTGGCCGGCCACCTTAGGGGATTCTCATCCCTGTGTGGCGCCAATTTGCATATAGGGAAGGAAGAGGAAATCATCCTTTATCCTGTAGTCCAATTTTGACTCAAATTCAAATTTCAATTTAACTCAAACTTAAATTAATTTGAATTCTAAATTGAACAACTTATCATATAAGTTTAAATGGATAAATTTAGAGTTGTTCAAATTCAAATTTAAATAATCACATTATTTAAATAATAATTAATTATCAATTAATTATTTTTGAGTGTTTAATTTTAGAATTCTGTAATTCTAAAATTCCCATTTTACCCTTTGTGTCTTATAGAATTACTAGGACGACGCGAGGACTAATAGACCTATAATCCCGAGCTCCAATAAAATTAATAATTAATTAAACACTTTAATTAATTAATTAATTCTATTAATTTCAATAGTTACTCCACTATAAACTTGGAATTGCACTCTCGAAATTATAGATATAAATTACTTCTAAACTGTGAAGTGTCCATTTAATATAGTCATTGCATATAGATCGATCCTCCATAAATATTTTATAATTAGAGCTAGATAAAATCCGTTAACCTCTCTAATTATATCTTTATCCTTGAGTACCATTGATTCTCTAATAGACAGTGATTCATAAAACACACATGAATCGGAGCTCCTACTGGTCCAAGTACCGAATCAACCCTTAAGAGAATTATTTATCTACTTCTTTCTTAAGAAGGAATGAATTTCATCTCGTATAATAACGGCTTATCAGTAGTGTTAGTTTATGATAATTATATTCTAATAAAATCACATTAAATTAAAAAATTATACAAAATAAACCGATTCTGATACATATTTAACAATTAAAAAGTAAATAATTAATGATAGTTCATTTTCTCGGTCCTCTCTTTTTTTAAAGCCTTTTTATTTACTTAATAATGGTTGAAAAAAGGAAGATTCTCTATTACGCTTGGTGTACCAGTAGGTTAAATTTTTTTAACTGTTATATCGTCGTACTTTTTGGCCGTGTTTGGAATTGATTCCGTTTTTATTTTTCACGTTTTTCAAGCGAGAAAAAATGAAAACGTTTTTAAAACGGTGTTTGGCGCAATAAAGACAAAAAACAGAAATGAAAGTGATTTTTTGGTTTAGTATAAAATGAGAGAGAAATGAAAAACAACTTTTAATCGTTTTTCATTTTTTATTTTCATTTTCTCTTCTAAGAGACAGGAATATTAATGGATTTTCTTATATTAAAAATAATCTCTTAATAAAATTATCAAACACATTTTTAAAAATAATTTCTGTCTAAAATTAAAAACGCTTTTATTTTTATTTTCATATAAAAAATAAAATTATTTTAAAATGAATTCTAAACATATCTTTTTAATTTTTAGGTGATTTTATACAAATATATAAAATCTGACGTACCCGCGTGTTAAATTTTTTTTTTTTTTCAAAAGATGCGTTCAAAGTTTGGAGCAAGACCGAACAAGCATTTCTGACAAAAACTCTCTCCTTTTCAATTCGACTCGATTCGTTAACAATGATGGATTTGGACCCAGATGATATCTTCAGAGACGAAGACGATGACCTCGGCAATGAATTCTACGAGGTTTTTTATTTTTTTATTTTTTATATTTATATCAAATTTCATTTTCATTTATGAAAATAACTTGCCCATTTTCCTTTCTCATTAAGACAACAATACGTTCTAGTGTTTGATATTTCATTTTGTTTCCTTTCAGAAAGAAGCAACCAAAGAACTTGCTGTATACCTGGTTGATGCTTCCCCAAAAATGTTCTCCTCTACTTCTCCAAACGTGAGTTTGTAATACATACATACATACATATATATACATACATACATACATATATATATATATATATATATATATATATATCTCCAAACGTGAGTTTGTAATACATACATACATATATATATATATAAATATGTGTGTGTATATATTTTCTGTTTATATTCTAACTTAGTTGCATTTGGTTTCACCATTTGGTTCATGAATAGAAAGTTTGAGTAGAAATTTAAATTTTTGTAAAACATTATAGCAAACATTTTTAAATTGTTGTTCAAACCTGCGGAAAAAAGGGGAAAAAGAGCTTTTGCTATTAATTTGATGGTTATTTATTCCTTGAACTATGCAAAGTGGATTATTTAGTCTATGTTTGAACTAGGTGTACCGTGCTCTCAATAAGTTTTCAAATTTTTGTTTCAAGCTTTGATTACTTTGTTGAAGGGATTGTCAAATTTGCCATGTTCTGGCTTTGGGCGTCCTAATTTTTCCATGTTCTGTGAAACTTTTTCTAACGTCTCTTCATTTGTCTGTATTGGCAGGAGGATGGCAAGGATGAGACTCATTTCGATGTGGCTCTCAGTTGCATCTCACAGTCACTGAAGACTCAAATTATCAATAGGTCGTATGATGAAGTTGCTATATGCTTCTTTAATACGGTAAATTGTTGACTCTGTTTAAGCTAAGCATAATGTTTTGGCCATCTGAAAGACTGAAACTTATTCATCGGTGGACACGTCTAAGTCTCTTTTTTACAACATAAAGCTTCACCAATTCTTATTGGGGTTTTTTCTGCTTACTCATTTGATCTGTTTGTTCACTTTACATATTCTTAATGGTGTTTTTTCTTGCTTTTCAATCATAATCTTGAAGTTTTTGCTTTGTGTTCCTTTCTTCTACTTGTTAGAAGTCGATTTGTGTAGTTACACCTTGAGCAGAGTTTCAAGTTTGTAGAATGATAGGACTGCCTCTAGTTTAAGCTCGGCTGGTTTTCGGACAAACCTGTATTTTGTCATCGCCTGGTTGTTGCTGAGTAGGCAGAATTACTCCTAGAGGGTTAGAAGCTGTCTCTGTCTTTTGAATGTGTAGCTGAAAGTACCCTTTTGGCATTTTTTTTTATTTCCTGTTCTTGGTTCTTCCTTTTATTTTATCATTTTTTGAATCTCTTGTATGTCTGACATGTGTGCCTTTTTTTTTTATTGACACAAAAATTATAAGAATTGCAATTATGCATGGTATTTAGTCGTTACATTCCATCAGTAAGATAGCATCACTAAAGGACTTGGACAGAATTCAAAAATGCATACGAAGCACGCTCAAAATTACAAAATTGTGTGCTTTTACTCCCCTCTCTATGAGAAAATCGAAGATATAATATAGACGTTAGATCGTGATAGCTGCAAGGCGACTTTTTTTTTTTTTTTTTTTTTTTTTTTTATTTTTTTTTTTTTTTCCCCCCCCCCACCCATCCACAACCATGTTTATATGTTGTCTTCAATTCTGAAGATCTTTGCAGCCAAATATGATCTTTCAGATAAACTGTTTTATAGTACAACAAATTCTAGTTATTATTATTCTCTCCCATTTATGTTTTATGACTCATTTGCAGAGGGAAAAGAAGAATTTACAAGACTTGAATGGCGTCTATTTGTTTAATGTTGCTGATCGAGATTATTTAGACAGGCCAACAGCTAGACTAATAAAAGAGTTTGATCTTATAGAGGGTAAGAGCTGGAGTGGACATTTTTCTTGTGTTGTTATATGATGTGCCTCTCGTTGAGAGGCACTAAGAATATCAACAACTTTAGCCCTTTTGGCTTGTATTGATGATTCAGAAGAACAATCAAATATTGATTCAAAAGAACAATCAAATATTGACGATTCAGAAGAACAGTCCTTTTGGCTCTTATTGATGATTCGAAAGAACAATCAAATATTGATTCCCTCAACTAAATTGTTTTGTGCTTTTTTACAAGTATCTTCAGGAAAATAGTTTATGAAGTTGTAAAATAAGACTAAATAAATTAGAACAATGTGGCCCGGTATGTTTTTTGGCTTCAAATTTTTCTGGTTGGTCCTCCTTTATCTCCTTTGTGCTGTCCTTTTTTCTTTTCCTCTGCCATAAAAGCTCCACGCTTCTTGTAGACAAAATAAAGCTGTTTGGAAATTTTTTTTTTCAACATTTTCTTTTGGTACATAATTAGTGTTGAAATTTTCCTAAAGCTTCTGAAATAGAAATACTTATAATTAGGTTTGAAATTTATTGCTTGCTCTTTAACTAAAAAAAAAAAAAAAGTGTTTTCGATTTACGAATTACCTCCAGATTCCAATACAGGAAAAATGCTAAAACCAAAACGTAAACAGTATGCAATGATGTGGATTTGGATTTAGCACTCTTGATTTTGACTTTAATGTTATTTGTCATTTTTTCATGACTAATCCTTGAGATATCATTCCTTTTCATTGATCTCATTTTTGGTAAGATTACTTAACTTTGATTTCATTTGTGATGGTAATGATTTATAATGTCTGTGGATACATTTTACTTCTGCGAGCAATATAGTTTCTTTTTGACTGTGTGCCCTTGGTTGGAGCATTAAATCAGAGCCTTACATCCTTTAGGAAATAATTTTTCTCTCAGAGTCATTTACGAAAGAAATTGGAAGTAAATATGGTATTGTCTCCGGGTCTCGAGAAAATTCTCTTTACAATGCACTCTGGGTAGCGCAGGCACTGCTGCGGAAAGGGTAAGACTATCCTTCTTGTTGAGTTTCTCTGTTCTTTTTTTGAAAACATAATTTGCATAAAAGAAGGGATATGCAAGGTTTTTGCAGACCTAGACCTCGTGGCTTCTTGCAGTAAATTTTATATATATATATAATTTTTTTATATAAATATATATATATATATATATATATGTATATATATATGTATATATGTATAGAGAGAGAGACACACACACGCACACACACATATATAAGATTCTCATAGTAAATATTGAAAATACTCTCAGGTCTGTAAAGACTGCTTGTAAGCGAATGCTTCTATTTACTAATGAAGATGATCCTTTTGGGAGTTTCAAGGGTGCTTCGAAGATAGATATGATAAGAACAACATTGCAGCGGGCGAAAGTATGTTTTGCATGAAATCACTGTCTAATGGATATTGAAAATAGAAAGTTCATATTTCTTATATATTTATATATTTTTTGTTTGCTTTATAAAGGATGCACGAGATCTTGGCATCTCAATTGAACTTCTGCCATTGGGTCGGCCCGAGGAAGAATTCAACGTTTCTCTGTTCTATGCTGTATGGCATTGGCTTCACTTTTATTTTCTTCATTATCTTTCATGGTGCTCGAGCCCTAGAATCTTACCACTATAAACTCCATATGTTCCAGGATTTAATTGGACTGGAAGGTGATGAGCTTGCTCAATTTATTCCCTCAGCAGGAGAAAAGTATGCCTTCTTTTTCCAGACGTGTGTGTGTGTGTGTGTGTGTGTTTTATTTGTTTTTGTCTTTCTCTAGCCCTTTCAGGTTGTTCCTTTATGCAGCCCCAGAAAACAACTTGTTTCCTCTATTTTCTGGTATATTTCAACCATTTGATGTTGGATGGATATCTTGCATGGAACAAAGTAACTAATTAAGTCAACGGCTGATCTAGTTTTTTAGTTTGAATCATTCATCTATTAAGTATCCTATGCAGTTGTAGAACAATCATGTGAATAGGTATATAATTTGATCATAGTGTTGAAATGGGATTTCTCATGGTACATAGTGGTTTGCGGTTGTGTAGGCTATTCTTGTGGTGGGTAAGTTGATCTAATGGTTGAGTAATGTTTAATGAGCTTGTAGGTTGGAGGTCTGGATTTGGAGAAACAGGCAGAAAACTAAATAGGGGAGAACTTAGGAGAGAGAAAAGTATAGGCCTCATGATAGGAACATAAGTTGTATTCTTGGCATGGAACAAAAAATTCAAAGTGTAGAATTCAACTTGCTCTCTGAAGTCATTTTGAATATTGACGAGTTTTGTAACTATTTTGATTCGTTCTCAATTATTTCTACTTATTGCATGGAAAGATCAGCCATAAGAAGATAGGCTTTAGCTTGTTACCACACCTTGGTTCACATTCTAAAACAAGGATAAAGAAAAGTCTTTCTTTTGAGTATGCTCTGCATTCATTGCTTGTTAAAAATGGCGGATTACATATTTGAGAATCATGGGGCGATACTCAAATTCAAAATTGTTATTTGTTGTTTGGTTTATCACATATAATCGTTTATCTTGTTTGATTTTGAATTTCGGTTGGACAGAATTATTTGTTATTTATATTGAAGCGTTGCAATGTAAATTCTTAAGTACCAACTTAATTTTTCTTTTTACAATTTTTTGCATTTTGACACATAAGAAATGAGTAACTCAAAATTCCTAAAGGTCGTTAATATTTGCAAACCAATAGTAAATGAGCTGATTTTTGCCAGCGTATGAAATGGGCAAAGGTTTTCTAAGCAGGTTTTAAGATAGTTATATTAGTGCTAGTTTGTTTATTACTAATTTTCAAGGCTTCCACATTTGTTATACAAATTGATTTTTTTCCCAATTTCAGATTGGAGGATATGAAAGATCAGCTTAGAAAGCGCATGTTCAAAAAGCGCATAGTTAGAAAAATCAATTTTTTGATTGCCAATGGACTATCGATTGAACTGAACACATATGCCTTGATTCGTCCCACTGTTCCTGGTATGCAAGTCTTACCATCTTTTTATAATTAGTTATTATGCAAAGCTCGGCCTTTGCATGTCTTTTGTTATTTTTGGTTAATAATATCTGTTCCTTGCCTCTGATATATAGGAGCAATTACATGGCTGGATTCTGTCACTAACCGCGCTTTAAAGGTGATTTGTCGGCAACCTTTTGTTTCCTTGTATAGGAAAATATCAGGGACAGAAAGAGAGAATAACTCTCAGTTTTTTCTTTTTAATTCCAGAGAATAGAACACACTTAAATAGAAAAGGAGAATACACGTTAAACCCTAGGATCCCACATAATCAGGGATTTTATTCTATTCTTTGATTCTTTCCTAGTTTATTCAAATATCAAATCCTAACTTCACAATCTTGATTTGCCGACACTCTCCCTCAAGTTGGTGCAAATATATCAATCATGCCCAACTTGCTCACTTGAAGTTCGAATGACTGTCTCAACAGGCCCTTAGTCAAAACGTCTGCCACTTGCTGTGTAGTGGGTACAAATGGAGTACAAATTATCCCCTCTTCTAGCTTTTCTTTTATAAAGTGTCTATCAATCTCAACGTGTTTCGTCCTGTTATGTAGGACTGGATTGTGAGCAATATTGATTGCTGCTTTGTTGTCACACTACAGTTTCATAGGAAAACTTATTGGTCGCTTAAGTTCTTCCAAAACCCTTCTTAGCCAAAGAACCTCACACACTCCTTGAGCCATTGATCTAAATTCCGCCTCAGCGCTGCTTCTAGCGACTACACTTTGCTTCTTGCTTCTCCAAGTAACTAAATTGCCCCAAAGGAATGTATAGTAGCCTGATGTTGACCTTCTGTCAGTGACCGAACCAGCCCAATCCGCATCTGTATACACCTCAATTCCTCTTTTCTCATTTTTCTTGAAGAAGAGTCCTTTCCCGGGTGTTCCTTTTAGATAACGAAGAACTCAATACACAGCTTCCAGATGTTCTTCATATGGGGAATGCATAAACTGGCTCACCATGCTCACAGCGAAAGCGATGTCGGGACGTGTATGTGACAAGTAGATTAGTCTCCCAACCAATCGTTGGTATCTCCCTGTGTCTACTGGGACGCCATCTTTTACATCTCAGAGTTTAACATTAGCTTCTATTGGAGTATCTGAAGGTTTGCAACCACTCATTCCAGTTTCTTTCAGAAGATCTAGAATATACTTCCGCTGCGAAACTACAATGCCCTTTTTCGATCTTACCGCTTCCATTCCAAGGAAGTATTTTAGCTGGCCTAGATCTTTGATTTCAAATTCCTTGGCTAGGTTCTGCTTCAGTCTACTCATCTCTTCTAAATCATCTCCAGTCAGAATAATATCATCCACATAGACGATCAAGACAGACATCTTGTCTTTGGTAGACCTCTTTGTAAAGAGGGTGTGATCCGATTGCCCTTGTGTATATCCTTGGTTCTTAACAAACTTTGTAAATCTCTCAAACCAAGCTCTGGGAGACTGTTTAAGACCATATAGAGACCTCTTTAGTTTGCACACCTTGGTTCCAAAATTCTCAATGAAGCCCGGTGGAGGTTCCATGTAGACTTCTTCCTCTAAGTCTCCATTCAAAAAAGCATTCTTAACATCCAGTTGATTCAGAGGCCAATCAAGATTAGCAGCAACAGATAAGAGTACCCGAACTGTGTTTAGTTTCGCCACTGGAGAGAAAGTCTCTGAGTAGTCCACTCCATATGTTTGAGTGAAGCCTTTAGCCACCAGGCGAGCCTTGTATCTTTCCAAGGATCCATCTGAATTGTACTTGACAGTAAAAACCCATTTATAGCCAACAACTGTCTTCCCATCTGGCAGGTGCACTTTTTCCCAAGTAGCATTCTTCTCCAGAGCTCTCATCTCCTCGAGGATCGCTTCTTTCCACTCCGGAACATTTAGAGCCTCCTGGACACTATTAGGAATAACCACACTAGACACTTGTGAAATAAAGGCACAATATGAGGGTGAAATATTTTTGTAAGACACAAAATTCGACAATGGATGTTTTGTACAAGTCCTAACACTTTTCCTAAGAGCAATGGGAAGATCAAGTTGACTAGAATGGTTTGACTCAGAATTACTTGGAGGATTATGCTCAGGAATTATTGACGAATCATCCTGAATGTCATGATCTAACCTTTAATAAGACTCTTGGTGGTGCTGGGGAATAGTGTCTCGTCTTTTCTGCGCTTGATACTCCTTTGAATAAACAAGACCTTTAAACTGTTTCGCACACATCTCTGTTGTTTTAGTATTTTGATTCTGAGATGGCATTACCACAGGTTGTCTATTTTCAACATTTAATTCCACTGATTTTCCTTCGGGTTGTTTGTAGGAAACATCATCTTGAGTAAACTCAAACGTTAAACCATCTAGAAATTCATCTTCACTCGAACTCTCCCCCTGAAGATGGGAATTGTTGTAGTAGGGCTGTCCCTCAAAGAACGTGACATCCATAGAAACAAACATTTTTTTGGAAATGGGATCAA